AACTGAAATAGTTTAAAATCCATGCGGTTGCCCAAAGATAGACTAGTAGACCTTGAGACCTGAGTAAAGATTCTCTTCAATCTCTACAAATAAATGTCATGACTGATTGTAACATCTGTTTCTCGTGGTTAGTAGGTGTATATCTGTTCCATTCTACTACATATTGCTCTTACAGTATTTCTGTACTACGTTCTGTACATCTTATGAACTATGTGTATATGGTCTGTTTGACCAACGAAGGCCTTTCACTTGCAAGATGAAGTGTAAATCTTATGAGCTACTAGGCCATACAGAAATGGTTTGCACAGTTACCAAGAGAATACATACTTGTGTTTAAACATTAGTAAATCTCTTATGTAACTAGGAAAACTTATTGTACGAGTGTGAACTGAAACTGCGTTCAGTTTTATGTACCCTTGTACCTGAGCTAGTTTGGAAATGTACTGTGTTCATAAAATGTGAGATTAAGCAGTCAAGATCCTCCTAAAAGAGGCAAAGTGAACATTGCTCTGGTGGTGACTAAAGTGAAGTTTACTTGCAGGTTCCCAGAAAGAATTTTGAAAATGGTCATATTGATTGAAAAATAGTAGGATATGCTACGTGGATATCAGGTCTAGCTAACTGTAGATTACAGTGCATTATTGAGTAATGTTATATAAGGTGTTATTTTGCTTTTTGTTGGTGGTGGTGTTTTGTTTTGTTTGTTTTTTTTTAAGCTGAAACTTGTGTATCTTAGCTCATTTTATCTAATGAGCTCATCCAGTCATTGTCACCAATGTCATGCTCATTAGTAAATACAGCAGAGCTTCACACACATTCTTTTCACCTGTGAAAACCTGATCAAGCTGCAGCAAGTGTGCTAATGATGCTCCTTTTCTGTTTCTGGCTTCCTCCTCCTTTGTGGAGGAATTTAAATTCAAGATTACCTTTGAAAGTTGAAGTATGTTTATTTAAATTAAGAGTTAAACCAAGCATGAAGATGAGAAGAGATAGCACTGTGTGTCCAAGGTTAGGTTATTATTACAGTGAGATTGAGCTGTTCTGTGAGCGGCTCCTGGGGTATTTTTGTGTGGTCTTCAAGGTCTGTAGGGTTATGCCAAAACTTGGCATTTTAGCTGGTGCTTCAAGGTGGGAATGACTCAAGAATCAATTTATTTTCTTTCAAAACTGGAAAGTCTGCTGTATCCATTTGTTAGTTTCACACAGTGCCTTTGGAAAGGCTTTAGAAATACAGGAGACATTGAATTTCGAGTTACTACAGACTGGGACAATGCAAGATAGACATATAACACTGGATAATGAAACATTCTGCTTTAGACTTGTGCTTAGGGCTGGTTTTTAGGGAGGAGTTTGTTGTTGGGCTTATTTAACAAAGACTGAGGCAAAAACTGCATTTAAATACAATATTCACCAGTACTTTGGGTGGGTTTTATCCTTATCCTTTGTTTTTGTATCCAAAATAACTGCTGTAAATGATTAGGAAAACGTAATCTTTTTCAACAATATCATTTTTCTTCAGAAAATTACTTCTGATCAAATAATCTCAATAGTAATGGAAAGATGTGTATACTGTATAAGATGTTAGAAATAAGAACTAGAGAAGAAATGCAAAATTAGTATGACAGACATGAATGCTGGGCTTTCTGTCTCTTGGTTGCTACTACTCTATAATACAGTATTTAACTAATTGTAGGCTTTCTTAAACTATTCTGCTATAACTCAGAAGATATTCTTGTTTCGTTGATATCCTATTTCCAGCTACATTCTCACTGCTTGTGCTTGACTTGATGCCTTTGAAGTTTAAGATTTGTACTGCCAGCTCTGCAGCATGAATATGTACCTAGTCTCTTTTGTTTTGTTTTTGGATGCAAGATATTAATGGTAGTGAAGTTCTTCAGTGAGGAAGATTCATTAACTACTCGTGTGCTCTAAATGTTGCCAGTGTTTGTTGCGAAGTTAGATGTTTTAGTTGTCCCAGCTTTCTTATGCTGTTTTCTTCCTAGTCATTAAGGAGGTTAGAAATAATGGGTACAATTCTCATTCACAGCATTTAAAACATTTATCTGGAATAATGTCCAAATAAATACGAATAAATATGTACAAAAAATATAAAAAGTCCAAATTAAAAAATGATATTTTTGTGTGTTAGTTATATAGCAAACAAAATTTATGTAGCCATACTTTAATCATTCAATATGACAAATAAGCAAATTATTGAAGTCATTTCCACATACAACAGGTACCACATCAAAAGCAGTGTTCGTTCTTTAAACGTTTGAAGTGAATAGGAAATACATTAAAGACTATATGGTTAGGAGCCACTTGAAGAACTTTACATGGCGGTGCTTTATTTAGGTTCTCCTTTCTGGTATCTGCCTTTGAAGCTGGTGATTTTTTTTATCTCTTAACTGTGAATTTAATCTTCAACATACTAAGCACTTCCAGGTAAAAATTTGTGGTCCAACCTTATAATTTGTTTTCCCTGTTGCTATATATCTGTTTTCTTCCATTTGCTGGTACTAGTTTTTACCTGGTTACACAGTAAGCAGTTCTAGAGCTATGCCAGCTGATGGGACTGTGTGTTTCAGAGGAGGGAGGAAAGGAAGGCAGTGGTTTTAGACAGTTCAGCATCCTTTAATTGAGCCTCACAAGCTTTATCACTTGAGGGGGAAAAAATAAAAAAGCTTTACTATAAAGCAGTAGTTGTGTCGAGCAATGTAAAGTGGCTCTAGAAAAATATGAATTTAAAACTGTTAATTGTCTTAAGGAATTAGAAGTTTCCAATAACATAAAGTTTGGTTTAAGATTTATACTTGAGATGTACATAGGTTGCTCTTGCAAGTACACTGCGGTATTACTGAACTCTAATTAACCAAGATTATCAGTCACCAACTGAAGATAAATGTTTGTGATTTAAGTAGAATCAAACATTTTATATTCTCCTCTGCTTCACAGCATAACTTAAAATGAGACTGTCTTTGTTCCTTTGTAACTAACCAAGAGCAAGACGAGTTGATATCTTAAAATTCTTTGTCCGCATGAGTTAATGAAAATAGCTTAATATTACTTCAGGCTGAAACTTCTGTAGAAGTGTGATTAGATGATTGGCTTAATTCAAAGTAATGTTTCACCAAGCACATGCATCTTTACCAAGCATCTCTGCAACTTACATCTTCCCTAGTAAAGGTTTCAGTGTTTCTGTAGTTGATAACCTGCAAATTAGAGTTTATCCCATTTTAAGTTCTAAAAGAGCCTGCTGTCTGTGTAGTATTTTATCCTAGTTCATGTAAGCAAAAACTAAAGCAAGTTACTAGTTTCAATTATTCTATTTGAATGATGCAGAAGGAGAACAAACCAGCTTTGTAAGTTGGTGCTGATTTAAGACCTGTCAAATTCACTGCTCGTTATGTTAATTTCTCCGGTCACAGGTAATTTACTTTCCACTCTTTGGATGCTGACCTACTGAATTCCTGCTACCTATTATTCTTAATTGTTTGTGCTGCCATTAAAATTTGGGAGGGGCTTTACTGTGAGGTAGAATAATTTGAGAGGCAGATGGTAAGTAGAGAACTAGAGAAGGTGACAGTTTGGCTTTATCACTTGGAGGTACTTGAGGATGTTTGATATTTTCTTCACTTTTCCTCCCCGTTTACAGCCCTGTTTTCCAGCTCTCAGCTTCCTTACATAATAAGAGACAGACCTACAAAGCTTAACTGTACTTAGATGTATATACTAAAAAATGGTTCCACTTCATAGAAACATAATTTGCATGCTGAGAAAGCATTAATTATGGTATAGGTAAAGCATGACAAAATATTTAGGTTGTGGTCAGTGGTATATTTGGAAATAATTAGGGATACGTTAACTTCTAAGGGTGATTTAGTTTTTATGTAATCAACTAAGGAGAGTTTGTCAAGCAACTGTACAAAATCCAATTAAAATATTAATACTGTGATGTTCAAAACTTTGTAACGGATACGGGGTGATTTGGAAAGCTGACTTTTCTATTACAGTGGGTTTTTTTGTATTACGGTTGTTGCTTGTTGGTTTTTCTTATTACTTTTTTATAGCCTGGAAAAGCAGATTGTCTATATTTTTCTCTGGGCTGGAGTATAGCATCTCTTTAACAAGTCACATTTGACATATTTGTTTACAGTTGGGACTTGCAGTGCTAATCTTTAAAGCAGCAATTCTGATTTCTCTCTGGCTGCTTACAATCAGCTGTTCACTGTTCTTACTACTCAGCCCATATGAGGAATACACGAGGAAGGACTGCAAGGTCAAAATCATATAATGTGAACATAGGAATTTCTCCTGGATCAGAGAATGGAAAATCAATCTGCATGTTATTATACACTGTGTCAGAATTCTAGAGGCAAATATATGTTGCTTTTTTAAACATGCAAAAGGTTATCATTCTACTGAAGTTACTGGAAATGAATGTGCCAGAAGAACATTCCTAAAGATCTGTAGTTTACTCAGATTTGCCTAATTCTGAAGGCCTGGAACTTAGTAGCCATTCTGTTGGACAACTTCCCTCTGTTGTTGTTTTTACCTGTTAATATAAATTAATGTATTACATGTGGGCTCCAGAGGCTTAGTCTTTCTGACAGTGCAGGAGTTGAAAATGAGTTGAAAAACTATTAGTTTGTACAGTGGGTTTGAGGTGGTAGATCTATAAAAAACGTAATCTTCCCCAGAGGGGCTGGGAAAATTACTAAGTATTTGTTCTTCTAAGTATCTTATTTAACATCAGAAATAAAGTCTGAAACTTCCTTTCTGCTATGGGTCAATATGAAAATACATGAGCAAAGATGACCTTCAAACAAAGAACCCAAATTAGATGATTGCAATGGCTAAGGATTTTTTAAATTCTCCATTCTATCTTGGTCTAATTTTTCACCTTTAAAAAGAATGAATAATTCCCAGCTGATCATCTCTTGCATGCAGAGTTTCTGAGCTCACAAATACAAGTGGACTTTTTCTGTTCTCTTTGGCAGATGGTGATGGACGAAGTGAACATTTGTTACCAGTATGTGAAGATGTAAACTGTCAAAAAAGTGCCATCTACTTAACTAAGCTAGGAATGGATCAGGTATTGTTACTTTGAAATTGTCAAGGCGAAGGACTATGCTGTGTTTCAAGTTAATGAGAAATAAGAGAAGCACATTTTCTCTTCTGAGTAGTCAAACTTCTTCACCTGCAAAGATACTGTGTAAAAGATTTTTATGTATGTATTTTTTTATTTATGAAATTATGGTTTTGGCAGAAAAACTTGCATACCTAGAAAACTATATAATGGATAATTCACAATGGAAAACACCCAAGAAAATTACAGAGACTTCTGGTGAGTCTTTTTCTTGAGTGCAGAACAGTGCAACCTAAGCAGCAAAGCTGCTCTAGCGTTAGATAAAAAAAATAGATGAAAGTATTCCATTAAGGTTTGGAAATAGAGCTAATTTATTCAAATAAGTGTCTTCATGTCAGTTTAAATTAGAGAGTTATTTCTGTTGTAAAATAATAATTAAAAAAAAAACATCTAATTGAACCAGCCCACACCTCTTTAACCCACAGTTCTACAGCATCTTTCATAGTTTGTAACAAAGCACATTTCTAAATGGTATCTGAGGATTGCTTTCACTGAGTATCTTCAAGGTTGGGTTTCTAATAAACTAATTCAACTTTGTTTGGGCAAGATTTTTCTTGTTTTGAATGACATAGTCATAAAACTAATTCAGCATATTTTGTTACTATGTATTAATTTATTTTAAAGTTCTGGTTCTATCCTTCCTTATCACTGCTTGTTTATTGTGACATTTAATGAAATAACATGAAAAGCAGTTAAAACAGTTCCATGATAGCATGTGATGTAATAAGTAGAAACATGTAGCAATTGAAAATAGATATCTGTAGAATTTGTGGTTCTGAGCAGTTATGCCATGGAGAGGCACGCAGTGGCACGTGAGGCTTTGGAGCTGTTGCTCTGTTAAGATTTTGTTTTGATAGATGTCTGTCAGTCTGCAGCGTATTTACTTCTTGTGCTGTTTTTGGCACAGCTGGATGGCTACTAGAAAGCCAAGCAGATCTAAGAGAATGATTTCAAAGATGAACTTATTTCATGTAGGTTTTACTTCACGTAATGATTTAATCTTTTAAACTGAGAAATTTTCTCTTGGATGATGTGGCCAAAGGACAGGCCAAGTTACATTTGAGTGACAGAGATTGAGATGTACTAACAGTTTGAAAGAAGCAACAAGAAGAATTGCTACCAGACCTTAAGTACAATCCCATACACTGTATCATATCATGGTTGGTGTTTGGCCATCACAGGCTTTTTTACCTTCATCTGCAATAGCTACAGACTAATGTAGTTGCTGATCTAGTTGTTTTCTTCACCTATTGATTTATATGTTTGCATTTCATTGTAGACTTTACAGTTGTGAAATGGCTTTTTTATGAATCCTGAAGTAAAAAACATGCAAATTTAATATAATCTTAACAAATTCATTTTGGATTTTGTTTCTTTAAAATAGTGTTACCGTATGTGGGATCATATAGAAAGTACACGATTACATACAAATATATTTTAATGCAATGGCTTTGTTGGTCGTTCCATGCAAAGTAAAAACTGTATTTTAGTGTTTCTGATTCCTATCTGTTTTTCAAAGTTACAGTACTTCTCAACATCATTGATCTTTTTCATGAGAGTGAAATGATAAGAAGTCACCCCTTGAAAATTTTCTCAGTCTTTAAGAAAATTATATAAATTTGAAAAGATTTTTCAAACCAGCAGCTAACAGTAGCTAAATAGGCACACATATTTTGGAAAGCAAAGGTAGAATATGACAAAGTATGTATAATCTGAAGAGTTTCCTGCAGTGGTGTTATGGATCCTCTTAACATTTGAAACGCTGTGACTCATGCAGGCAAAAATGCATTATATGCATGTCTTGTTGATCTGTTCCAGGCTTCCAAGCTGTCTGTAATAACTAGAAAGAGTTCAGCTTAATGGACTTTCTAAATAATTCTTGGGGCTTTTCTAATGTGTGTGTAGCTGTGTGGAATCTCAAGAGACCAGTCCAAGTGAGCAGACAATTGCCACGTGGCTGGAATGTTGCTGTGTGCAGGATTGCATAGTGAGGGAGTTTATCCACAGCAGGAAACAATGCTGTCAGGGATCTCATTCTGGTTCCTGAAATAGCTAAGTTAGGGCTTGGGTGAGAGACATTTAAGATGCTCTTAAGTGCTATTGACGTTGCTGGTAGTGATCCTTTAGGATGCCACACTTCCATTCTTTTGAAGACATTATCAGTTAATTGACCTAGAAAATTCTGGCTTTAAAAATGCACTGAATTTTTCTGTAGAATTGAAATGTTAACTCTTGTACTTCAGTTTCTTACCCATTTGTGAAATTACCTCGATTTTAATTAAGTTAAATTCCTATTTAGCACCTGTGTAGCCCTTTGTGGTAAGTGCAGATAGATTCTGTTTCTTATCAAGGAGAAATTATACTTTGCATTTCCTGTGTACTTTCACAAATTTGATGACGGTACAGTCCTCTCCTAGTTTTGTGGGCTTTTTATGCATGCGTTCTGGAATAACCAAGTACATTGAAAAGATTTCATATTACATTGTACATTTGGTGTCAGAGTAAGGAAATAATCTTTATTGTCTCTTGAAAATTTGCAAACTGCTTCAGAGTCCTGACTCAGCACAGAATTGTCAGTTGTTGTAAATAGAGATAGGTATTCTTCATAAATGAAATGGATTTTCTTACCTATCTGTTCTTTTCTAACTTCTTTCACAGTGGATTCCAGTCTTGCAAGACTTCAGAAATAAAGACACACTTTGGGGCTTTGTAAAAAATCAAACGGACAAAACTACATCAGAAGTTTCATTTCCAATGACTCTTCATATTGGAGATTACAACATGGATGGCTACCCAGATGCCCTTGCTATACTAAAGAACGCATCTGGAAGGTAATGACCATTATATTGATGTTAGATCTTCAGTCATACAAATTATTAATTTTAGTACATCTTGTTCATTTTATGAAGTGAACAACATGTCTGATCTCAGCCCATGGCAGTACAAAGTGCTGTTTTAGGCTTTCCTCTCTGGTCACAGGCCGTCTCTCCTTGTCCTTTCCCATCTTCTGTAAAAGAACACTTGCAATGTTAGCTAGTAACATCAGTCTGCTGAGAGTTCAGGGAAACCCATTCCACGTCATATCCCATTTTATGTCCTCTGAGTGGAGATTGCTGAAATATGCGATTGTGTGCTTTGCTCCTTCTGAGATCCTGATGCTTTAGATGCACCTGTTTGGTTACTGGTCACTTTATATTATCCAATTTCAGTCGAAATAGAATCATAGAATCATGTTGTTTTTCTCCTTTGAGAAATTGTTAAGTCACTTGTATAATGGCATTTTCTTTTCTCATGGTGTGCTGTGATGCACAAATGGCAAGGTGGTATATGTAATATTTATTAAAGATACTTGTGTGCAAAGAATCTTTGCCATTACTTCACTTCAGGTGAAGTTTTGATGTTTACAGTGTTTTAGCCTATATAGTAAAGGCAAGCTACGAGTACTATTTTCATTTCAGCTTAATTTTTCTTTTGTATTGAATTCTTCTTGCCTGCATTTTTTTCTGGTTTTTTGTATCAATCTATATCTAACTTTTTAATGAAGTAAGCTTAGTTTTTTTTCCCCCCTCTTCTGGGTGCCTCCAGAACAGTTCTTTCACATTTAAACTTCTCTACTGAAATTAAGCGATAAAATCGCTTTTTCCCTGATGAATACATGGTTACTGGATTCCTTGCTGTGTGAATGTCATGTACATTTTTTTTCTTGATTTCATCTTGCTTTCAGGATGTTTAATGAGGCTACTTTCATTACCTTTCCCTGTTGCTGATAGTTTACTTTGCTCCTCCTTATTTGTTTGGATGTTCTGTATAGTTTTAGTCCTCAGTAGGAAATGGCAGTACCTCTCAGCATTGCTGCAGTTTCAATTGATCTGTTCAAATCTCTTAAAGTTTTTTGAGCCATTTTGCCAATTGATCCCTTTCCATGGAAGGCCAAGCAACTTGTTGTTCAAAGATGAAATGTTCTGGTTTTTTAAAACGTTTTCTCGTGTTGCATATGCTTAAGTGATCAGAAGGTAATGGATGCCCCACTGAGAGTAGCTGGGATTTATCTAGTACTTAGTAGATCATCATCACTCGTGATTTAGCTGAAGCAATAAAATTATCTTGAGCTCATGTAGGATGTTTGTAGAAATCAATTAGGCTTTTTTTTTTTTTTTTTACTTTGAGATTCCTGATTTATATATTAGAGAGGGATATTTGTATTACAGGAGGAGTCTGTTTGTTTCAAGGCACAGTAGAGGAATTTTTTTTATTATTTTCTGGGGAGGAAAGAGAGAAAGCTGCCATGGCAGAGTATATGAGGATGAGGACCATTTCTGATTCAGTTTTTCGAACTTCAGTTTATTAATGTTTGCTGTCAAAATCTCATGCATCTCTGCAATCACTGAAATTAATCAAAACCTACTAGGTCACAGCCAGAAAATGCGTGCCGTCAGTGGAATATATACTGCAGTGTTTTAAATCTTAGAGGGAAGGAAAATAAAAGCTTCTAATGTTCCCTATTAACTTTGTCAGTGTACTTGTTCTCCTACTTTGCTTCATTGTTTGCCTTCCAGCCCTTTGTCTTGCTGCAGTCTGGTGTTGCGGCAGGTGTAGCGATCCAAGCTGGGAGACTGCTGTACATCGTGGAGTTAGTGATCCGCATAACTGTTGACCTGAGTTACAAGCATGCCTGTGCTGTTCTGCACATATCACTTGGCTGCAGGACAAACTTAGCAGCTAACAGAGAAGCCTGTGGGCAACTCCCACTTGGCACCTGGCGATGGTCCCACTGGCGTGTCCTTGTCTTTACCTTGAAGTGATGTGTGTTTTGTGAACGTCGTTTCAGTTGACAGTGGAAATGATGAATAGAGTTGTTTACTTTTCAGAAAAATCTGAAGGAGCTCTGGAGACCATAATGCCAATGAACCTCACTACTGATAGGATATGCACAGTATGCTGTGCCCTGTCCTTCGTTCTGTCTAGTACTGCACAATTTGTGTTTTCCAGCACCTGAAGAGCTCTAAGATTATCTATGCTAGTCACTTTTTCTCTCTCATGTCATCTCCTCTAAAAGGTATTTTAATCAATACTGTATGAAGTCTTAAAATCTTTCTCATTGGGATCTATGATGAATACTTGCACTAGTACATTACCGGGAAAAATCAAGTCTGTCACGGTCGTATTTATTGTCTAGCTGTGTATGTTTTATGAGAGTTGGGTGCAGGTTCATAGTTTCAATTAATTCTAGACATGAAAATAACAGAATCTCACTTTAGTGCTTAGAAGAGTAGATAGACAGAATTTAGATTCTTAAGTCAGTATTAATTCAGATCCTCCAGTGGTTGCATAAACATGAGTGACTCACTGACATTTTTGTGTTTGAGCTCCTTGCATACTGACACATGCCTAAAACTGAAGAGCTGTGTGCTTATATTCTTCCTACACAGTGATTCAGACACAAAGCAGTGAGCAACAGAGCTCTGCCACTACTTCTGAGCCTTAAGATAACTAGTATAGCTGTTGTTCTGTTTGGGTTTTTTTCAGTTGTTGTTGTGAATGTTGTTTTTCAAATGTGTCAGAGAAGCTGGTGATTCTGTTACTGCCCAGAATCTACATAGACAAAGTTAAACCACTCAGACTGTTTTTTTTCTCCTTAGCCTTTCTTAGTTGGGATTTTACATCTTCTTTTCAGCATCACTGAAATAATATTTAAAAGTCTACACTAGCAAACTTTTACTTAAGGCCCATAAATCTTGGTTTAGGGTCCGTATTGAGTATGTATCATGATGGTTAGGATATTTCAAAAGGACTTCAAGAGGATTTCAGAAGTTCAGAAGTGGAGGGAGGATTAAGTTACCTTTTAATGTTATTGGGCATCTCTCTTCTCTGCCAGGATTATGCTTAGGGCAGGCTAATAATACGTAAATGTTTACATAGTTCATAAGTAATTACTCCCACAAAAGCCCAGGGTGTTGCCTGTCTGACTGCAGTGAATTACTGTGCTACACTTGCCTTTATTTTCTTTGCTTCTGAAATTTCTTAATCAGTTGGGTGTGCCTTAGAAGTTATTTCGAAACTTGACTTCAGAGTTGAATGGCACATTGTTATGCATAAGGACTGAGAGTACCGGCAGGTGATTTGGCAGGCTGCACAAAGTAAGGTTCAGAGAGATGAGCAAGTCTGGAAAAAAAAGTAACTAAGGAATAAACTGTATGTTAACACTGTATATTCCCGATATTAATATGAAAGTAACAAAAAGATGTTCTATACCAATTATCAAATATCACGTTCACAGTACCATGAAGTCACTGTTTCTGAGAAACGCAAGCAAATACTTCCTTTTAAAATGTGTAACTGGGTTATAGAGTAGAGAGAGTTAAACGTGTGGGAACTAAATTAGAAGCTAGTCTTAAATCAGAGCAAGTTAAAATGGAAGCCTTATTTAATTGATTTTAAACACTTCCGAATCAAGCTGTTTATTTCTTTCTCTGAAGCCTTTCATGCTACATCTACAAATCTAATTTCTGTGATTGATTACTGTGATTAAATGATAAAGCATTTTTGTCAACTCTTGACCTCAATCTGTGCTGTAGTTTAGAAAGCCTAGCTTCTAGATGCTAACTGAAGGAAATTAAAAGAGGCAAAAACCATTGTATTCATCTGAAAATATACTGATACATGATGATGGAAGAATATCATTAAAATAATTATGTTATACTTCTGGAAAGTACTTTCAGAACAATTCTTTTAAATGCCTACAAAACAGTGAAATAAAGACATCTATTGTAGTTAGGAATAACTTTGGCTTGCTGGCTGTCCTGGTGAGCAAGTTCAGAAAATGATTAATAGCTTCAAATATTCATAGAGCTGCCATAAGACCACAGTGTTTCATCTCCTGCTGTATCCTGTATTTTCAATAAAGGCACGTAGTATTCTTTTGACTTGAGTGAAAACCTCCTCAATAGAATTCCAGTCTGCAGATTTCTCTTTAGGCTACGTACGTGAATATTTCTTCCTTCTAGTTATGGCTATACTGGGATGTGTATAGAATAACAGGTATTTTTATCTGTAGTTCCTGGTTTGTCTCTATTTGCTGTCTTACCTAAATTTATTAATTTTTTCACTTCTTGGTTTTAAATTCGTAATGTTGAAAGTGTAAGTACTGCATATAAACCTATAAATGCTTATCTTTCATTCTGCCACATAATTAGATGAAACATTTTTTAATCATTTGTTTCCAACTTGTTTTAATTAGATACTAATAATTGGCATCTTGAATTGCAAACATGTAATCTAAGGAATCATTTTTTTAGTGAGGCTTTCATTCAAAGGGAATGCTTTCACTGGTCAATACTGTATTCCCCAGTATGCCATTACTTTATCACAGACTTTGGTGATAAATAGTAGTGAAGATGGAGATATGGAGATAGTAAGAAACTGAGTACAGACAGCTGAAAGAACAGTTTCAAGTGTAATACACTTCTATGAAATTATCCAGGCACAGTTTAAAATCAATGTGTGCGTGTATATGTGTGTGTGTGTGCATATATATATATATTCAACAGATATATATTCTATATTAGTATAGAATATACTATAGAACTATATATTAGTTCTTTGCAAGTGTCTACTTGTAAGAACTCTAATTAAACTAGATCACCTTTGCCTAAATCATGGTTAGTTTCATCGCCTGTCAGAGGCAAAGGCAGATAAACAACTTGTTTAAGGCATAGAATTTATGAGCCAACCTATAGTTACACATTGTCTTAAAAATAGTTTTTTTGCTTGTCTTTGTGTTTGTTTCTGATGTGGAAGGGTAAAGGAAATTGGTATTTCCCTTTTAAATGATGCTTTGATTTATATCTTCCCTTATTCTCCCAATGCATTTGGTATTATTTTGATGTTTTCAAAGTCTTTGAATGCACATTACCAAGGAAAGGAGAATAAAAAGCTTCCTACAGTGAATAACCTTGTCTATCCATTCAAAAGGCTTATCATTTAGACAACAACAATATTCTGTATTTAAGTGTAATGCCATGTTTTCATCTTTGTTTTTGAAATAGGGTGATAATTTCTAGCTGTTCGAAAAATGAGAATTGAAAGAAAGCATCTTTTTAAAAGTTCATGCAGTTCTTTTTAAAAGAGTATGTCGAGGTGACGAAAAAGAGAAATTGAAAGAATTTGCTTAGCTCGAGTTGTCACCTTTTATAGTTGGATAATTTCACATGATACTGATGTAATGCATGACATTAAATGCTCACATTCACTTTAAGTTGCAGTTACGAGTTCTCAGGTTCAGGTAATACACTGTCCTAAACATTGTAGATAGTCTAATTTGATTTATGGCTGAGCATTAATTCTATGTGCTTGCACTTTTAACAGTGAAATTACAAAAAGGTTTTTTCATATTAAGGTCCAGTCAAATTCAGGCATAGAGCAGAAAAACAGAGACCTTTCTTTTGTTTTTCACAGAAGTTCAAGAAACATGATTGTATTGTTTTGGGGAAAGTATTTTAATATCCCATTTTATTTTTTATGCATCTTTGATGCCAGTGCAAGTTTTGAAATACTAACTGATACTGTGCAAAGAAACTTACTTCAGCATCAGAAGTATTTTTTCACAAGGTAAAGGTTTTGTCCTCCTCTAACTCTGAAATTGAGGGAAGAGAATTATGAATATTGTGAGTTTTGATTCTTCTTATTAGCAAATATTCCACGGAAATAAAGAAAACCAGAAACTTTCGTAAGGAGAAATGCTGAAGTTGCTTCTGCTTTTGACTGCATCCTGGTAGCCTTGGATGCTGTTAAATATGGAAAAACACCTTCTCATCACCCTCTGTGATGGCATTATGTTCAAGGTCATAATGAAGAAATGCTTTTGATTATTGCCCTTGGCTCTAACATGCATAGCTAGCCTTGCAGAATGCTGGCTGTTTCGTCTCCTGGCTCCCTTCAGAGAAAGAGGAGGAAACTTCATCTGTTCCCAGTGATGGATCCCTGTGGGCTTCCAGGGTAGTAACTGAGACTTGCCAAGCAATCAGGTACACAGCTGGTCAAGTCCTGAAGGTTTTCACAGTCCTAGTGATGGTGGTGGTCTTATGTTATCATGGACTGGGTATACACTGTTAGCCATCAGAGTACGTGTGAGGCCTGTGTCACTCATTGGTGTTTCCCAGTGACCAGTTAATGTGTATTAGATGACTTCTTCAAAAATGAGATTGTTTGCTATACTACACCTGGCAACATGATCTGTTTGTGTCAGTATTCTAGCCCTTCTTGTCGTGAAATAACAAAAAAGCACCAATTTGTTTTAGGGAGTACATAAGCTGAAAAACCATGGTGAGGGATTACGGAAAGCAGTAGATAGGTACACTTGTACTTGAGTCGGAATAAAGTAAGAACAAAGTTATTCCTGCTGTTTTGAACCTATTTATTTAACATATTCGTTAGTTTAAATCAGGCATGACATAAGAGTTTTGTGATTCTAAGGCTAGAATAAATGCTTATTAATTTTTAAATGTCTGCTAGCTTTTTGAGTGATTTTTTTTAATTGAATATATATTTCAGTTGGTTTCAAAATTACAAAGATATTGTAATTTATTATTTTATAGGAATTAAATTGTTATTTATACATAATGTCTTACAGCAATCAACAAGCGTTTTTACTAGAAAATGTCCCATGCAATAATGCAAGCTGCAAGAGTGCACGTCGTATGTTTAAAGTTTTTTGGGAGCTCTCTGACCTAAATCAAATCAAAGATGCAGTCGTAGCAACCTTCTTTGATATCTACGAAGATGTAAGTTCAACTCTTTACTGCAGCAAAGTGTCACTTCTGTGCTGCTGTGTATGTTTTTTTTTGTTATTCTTACACTGCCATGTGTAAACATTGGCTTAACAGCACGTGGCAGGCAGTGCTTTCAGACTGGGATGTTTCTGCATGCTGTTGAAATGCTCTCTGGAAGATGGGCAGGTAGCAGCAGCCCATTCACAGACTAAAAGTTTGCCAGCCTTCCATTTGCTGTTTGAACTGCCCTCTTCAGTGCCATGGAAGACACAAACCTCGTGTATTATCCTTGCTATGTGTGGATGGAGGGTCTAATATTGCCATAGATTAATACAATACTAAATATATTATAACTGGTAGGGGAAAAGTAAATTTTGCTGCACGCTTTTTTTCTTTTCCTTTGTGTCTCTAAGGGAATTTATTTACTGAATTTAGATGCTATGTAAAGTAAATCAGCATTCTCATTCCTAACTCAACTTTTTTTTTTTCCCTCTAGGGAATCTTGGATATCATTGTAGTAAGCAAGGGCCACTCCAGTGAAGACTTTGCTATCCATACGTTAAAAAACAACTTTGAAGCAGATGCATATTTTGTTAAAGTTATTGGTAAGTTATTACCATAAAATCAGGTCAAAATCAGATCTTGAGGGGAATGTGAATATTTGATCCTCTGTACATGATAACATTATGGTAATGCAGTGTGCATGGCAGTACTAGAAAAAAAAATACTGCATGGAAAATGTTAGGGTCTGTAGAAAGAGATTGCAGAATCTACACTTGGATAATTCATTTTTGTTTGGTTTCAAAGGTTGGGGTTTTTTCCTAATTTTAAGTTAGCATACTTGATTTCCAAGCATTTCTGTCCACTATTCTCCATACTTCTGTTGTTCTAATATCACTTCACCAGTTTTTAATAACAGTTTTGACCACAATGGCCTTCAAGTAAATAAGTGTTCATTATCTCTGGGTGTGTGCTTTTACTTAGAAAGCAGGTCATATCTCACTTGTTACCTAGAGGCGGGCTAAATCCTTCCTTTCATTTTGAAGCTTTGGTTCTTCACTTCTGCATCTTAGCAAAATCCTAAAGACAGATACTAGATCTTTAAAAGATCTTCTGGCTTTCAGAGGAAAACTAATTATGAAATGTCAAAAATTATGATCTGCAGGGAAACTGAGTTATTCATTCTAAAAGTGAAATGTGAAGAAATTCATGACTTCAATCCATGATGATATATAACCACAGGGGGACGAGTGTGTCTGGCTTTCTGTTGTCCATGCCTTCTGTGATGGATATGACAGAAATTAACAAACTTACAACAAGATGTTTGTACAAGTAACATTACATGTTACAAGTAAGAGTAATTTCCTGAACAGCAATTTTTGAAGTACTAATATAAATTCCTGGAGAAGCTGCAGAGTTTCCATCATTAGAGACTTATACAACTAGATTGAACAAACTATGTAGTATATCTGGTTTTGAGGGAAAGGGCTGGACTTGGCTGACCTCAAGGGCTCCCTTTTGTGAATCTTCTATATAATACTTTCACTTATCTCCAAATGTAGCTGTCACTGTAAAAGCAACATAATTCTACAGATATCTATTCTTCAGCGTAGACTTTAATGTCTCATGATATTTAAAATTTAGAGGAAGATCAGCCTGTTAGTCACTGACCTAATAAAAATGTAATTATGCTTATAGGTATGTATGCCATAACAATTCAGAAGAGATCCATAAGACATAAAGCAGCATTGGCTTGAAGGAATGGGCTTTGTCTGTCCACCATGACTATCTTTTTATCTTGGCTATTTTCAGAATTTAGGCAAGAACCAATAAACAAATATATTTATTTTCATTTGTGCCTTGAGTGGTTGTGCTGTTTTCTTTCCAGCAAGGACTTCTGTCCTAATTTACTAGAGTTTCTCTTCCCATATCCTTTGGAAATGATGCAGAATCTAGGCCAAAATGGACTGGTTTCATTTCAGTGATCTTCTGCATGGAGCATATTTCATGTTCTGCATGATCTATTCTGAGAGTACGTTTCCATGTCTCAGTCAGTTTGGTGTTTTCAGCCTAAATTTATGTATTACATGGCATGAAATACATCTTAACAGAACAATTTAGGATGACAGATAGCATGGCAAGGATGTGTGAATTAATTAAAGCATTGGTTTAAAAGGCTATTGCTACGCTATGATATTTGTAATTGAGAGTAATTAGTTTTCAAATTGCCCTACCATGTTTTTTCAGACTGCAGAGGTGTTGAGCTTTGAGCTCATTGCTTGGCTGCCCTCCTTCATTTCTGAGGAGGGATAAAAGGTAAAGCTGTAAGTGAACTCAGAGAAAACTAAACAAGAAGAACAGGAGGTTCACTGTGGAGAAATTGTTTGCCTTTGTGTTATTTAAATATACGTAATGATTCTGAACATGCATTCTGCATGCTGTAAGATGAACAGAATTGCATCTCCTGATTCATGTGTTAGTTACTCTGTAGTTTGGCCTTTATTTTCATCATATTAGACTACAATGATTTGTCATGCTGATGGAAGATGTACTCTTTTTAAATAGTACTGAGTATGGATAGTGTAATAATCACAAGCATGAAGAAAACTTTCTAGAAAAATGCTTCATTTCACAAGGCTACATTAGACAGACAATTGTGTGATATTTTGAATGGGTAATAGAATAATTTTCAGCAGCGGTATTACATATATCTTAAAATTGGTTTGCTTTGATTTTTAGCACTGTACTTGGTATGCTCATGTTTTTGTAGAAACCCCAGAAAATGGAAATTAGAGTAGCTTAAAAACATTTCTGTTGTGTCACAGGAGGGAGTATTTATAGTAAAACAGGCTTTATACCCATTGGTGTATCACTAAATGCACTGTGTTCATTTATTTGGTATATGGACAATGAAGGTAGTCAAATGAACTTGGTCAGGTTATTTGTTCCCACAGTGAAATTGAACAGCAAATTGCCATGTGCTGTTTTGCATCAAAATAGGAAGAGATGGCTCCACTTGAACGTGCATTTTTGTCCAACATACAACATAATTTGTAGCTTGTTGTCCATTATTAGATACAGGCACCATCTTCAAATTGTACTTTGCCATACCAATCACCTTAATTGTCCAGACTTTCTTTTTGTCTATATGGATACAGATTTTTCTCTATTTGGATGTTTAAAAATGTTAAGTCACAAACTAAAAATTTTAACTTTGAAATAATTTCCATTCAGATTTTCACAGAAAATACAAATAGTCCTTATTATACTAGTTTGGGATGATTTTTGATCAGACACACCGCTTAGTGCCTCGCTGTCACTGCACGTTTGGTACCCGAGATTTTGTGCATCTAATATTTAATGTGACAGGATGTTCTAGGTTACAGAACAGATGGCTTTCATTGTCCCTTAGTTGATTATAAAAGTTCAACATTTCTATAGTCAGCTGATTTTTCAAGCTGACAAGTAATTCAACAACTGTCATATGCTTTAGATATTAAGAAGCATTATGCACATCTGCTTATAATACTTCTGAATAACACAATAAACAGGTAATGGGACTTGATTTGAATCAAGTTTAAAGCCTGTATTTGGGGAAAAGCCTTTACTTTGCTCTTTTCCAGTTAAAAAAAAAAAAAAAAGGTAAAGCTGAATTTCTGGCAAGTATATTTTAAATGGTTAGAAGTAAAGTGTAATGAGTAGAATGTACAGTCCACTATGTTTTAACATTTTTTAATTTGGATTTTTTTCAACTGACAAATGTGTCTTTAGGAAGCAAGCTAACCAGTGAGGTATGAGAAAACAGTGATTAGCTGATTAATTTCTGCAAAGTAATATACTTAAGCAAATTAGCATTCTTGTAGTGCGTAAGTCGTAATGAATAAGATCTGTTTTGTTTATCTATCTTAATGGATACGTGACATCTAGTAGTGTGTTTCAACAGATTTTTGAGGTTGTGCTTGTAAGATGGCTTCTTAATATAAATACTGTAAGCTTACTTTCTGTTCTTGCAGTTCTCAGTGGCCTCTGTTCTAATGACTGTCCTCGGAAAATAACAGTAAGTATAACTGTGTCTTTACAACACTATTTAGGTTTAAATAAGCTGGGGTCTAATTATGCTGACAATCGCTCACATACATAACTAGGACAGTTACTGACCAGAAGAATGTATGATCCAAAGATCGACGGGCCAAGTGGTGCATGTGTGAGACTGTCTTTCTTCAGTTGTCTCCATTGACTGATTCTGCAGTGAGATTTGTTATGCAGCATCACAGGGGCTGGGTTATGTCAGGTACAAGAAAAACGTGTAATACCGCTGGATGCCTAATCCATGAAATGTGCCACGTCTTGATCAGGGCAGTCATAAAGGTCAGGTAAAACACTGTGGGACAAATTCAGCTCTTGGGTGCTAGGTTGCAACTTCTGGGCTAAAGTCAGGTACATGGGTACAAGGAAGGAGGAGGAAGAAAGAGAAAGAAATGTACTTGGTTTTGATGGTTCTGCAGATTAGCTATGTGTAGATGTCTTAATTCTATTTCAAATCTTTTAATAATCTCCAGAGACCCTGAAAGCCACCTGTGTTCTGTTAACTTTCAATTAGCAAATGACAGTATTCACAGAGAGAGGCCTGAAAGGGGAACTCGGGAATCAAAGTTATTTTTGCAGAGCTGAATTGCAAAAGCTGTGAACTTAAAATTTAGTTTGAAAATTAAAAAATAACCTGCTTCGAAAGAAACCATCCTTTTCTTCAAGCCTATTTTAAGACATCAGATTAATTTCTGATAAAAGATATTAAGAGGTTTTTGGTAGTATTATTAGCTTAATTACCAAAACGAGGAGAAGGTTTAGAAAGCAGATGTTAAACAGATGTTGAACACTTGATAGTCAAGATTATTTCAATGATACTATTTCAAAATACTATTGCCTTCACTGTAAAAAAAAAAAAAAAAAAAAAAAAAAAAAAGAAACCCAACAAACTAACATATAAAACTTAGTGTCATGAGGTGTATTATGTCAGAATGCAAATACTTGGCCAAGACAATAATAATGCACATTTTAACATCAAAGAAGGTTCATCTTTCACAGTTCTGCATTAACATCATCTTTTCTGTCTCCTTGTGCTTCACTGTGGCCAATTACTGTTTTCCCAGATTTGATACTGGCTTTCATCATCGTTACTTATTTCTTACAGTTTACAACTTACTATTTTTTGAGGCATGATGCAAAACATTCATCATCTCTTCTTCAGTGAACTTTCTGCATCTCATCTGAAAGGTCGTTTTACTGAACTCAGTGTCATAATATCGGCTTGAATTCACTGTTTGAAGAGAAAGAAAAAGGAAAAATGCCTTATTTAAAATCTTCTCTTGTAGCTGTTCCCTGTCCCTCCCTTAACAGATAATTCCCCCCCACATATGCTCCTCCTGTTCTCACGTAGGTACATGACACGGTTCATCACTCAGTAATCCACAACTCCCTTTGATTTTCCTTCCTTTTTTTTTTTACCCCCATAACCGTACTTTGATGTTTAAGCACATCTTCTGTGAAAATAATTTATTTAAAATAGATATTGGTACCTGAAAATTAACTGTTCAGCTGTTTTAATTAAATAAAACATTGCTGAATATTGATAATAATTTTGAATTTCTATTCTATTTTCAGATTAAGAAACTCCATCAGAATGGAGCATTCTCAGAAAAATCTTGAATGAGTCCTCTTGTTTTTTTGGTTTTTTGTTTTTTTCAGAACATGCAGTTACAATTTGAGGCTTTAGATTTTTAATATATTTAAAGCTCTGTAGGTTCAACCTTTTGCCGTAGGACTGAATAGCTTTGCTTTCTTCATGAGAAACAGAATGGTACTTAGACAACTGATTAGCCTTATTTTGAAAATGAATTTCCATGTATTGCTATGGGCAGTGCAAGAGCAAGACTTCAAAATAATCTATCCTGCAGAAATCATTAATCTGTAAAAGTTTGTCTTTGCTTTCATATTTTTATTATTAGAGCTTTGTCTGTTCCTAAAATTTTGCCTACTTCTTTTCCCTCCCCTCTCACTTTTAGCCTTTTGGTGTTAATCAGCCTGGTCCTTACATCATGTATACAACTGTTGATGCAAATGGATACTTGAAAAATGGGTCAGGTAAGATAATCTCATAAGAATAGACATTGCTAACTAATGACAACAATCTAAGGAAAGAGATGTGGGCGTTTTGGGTCCTAAATCAGTGTTAATGCTCTCACTCTGAGCACTGTGCTCAGAACTGTTTATTCTACCCTAGGAAATACAGAGAAATAACATGACATTAAATGTGTACCAGATAGCTGCAAATATTCTGATACTCTGTAGTACTTCTGCATTCATACATGCTTAAAGTTGGGCTTGAAATTATAAGGCTACATTTTTGTTCAAGCTAGTAATTACTGCCCATATATGAAAATGCAGAGTATTTTTTTCTAACTGTACAAGTTCAGTTTTACAAACTAATCCTCTAGTTTTGCTCTTGGCGTCATTGCTCTGAAAGGTTTCTTCATAAGCTAAATCTAAGAGCTTACTTAGTTAGGAACACTTAAAACACCACAGTAAATCTAGAGATGTGTAGTTAATCTAAGAGGAGAGCACAGTGCGTCAGGCCATGCCCTTAGGCAGGCAGTGCTGCTGTGTAATAACTAGCATATCATTATTGGCAGTTGCCAAGATGACGGTTGGCAAACTTTGTCAGTGCCGAGTCACTGTAGAGCCTCTCTTGTTAACCATACAAAAAAAAATACTGGCAAAGGTTTGTACAAGATCTCTCTCTTTTTCCCTGGATTCCTGTGGATGTGAAACTTACTTCAGTATGCTGTCTTTTTGGTTATTTGTAGTCCTAAATAACTTGAATACACTAGCCTACTGAAGCGAAGCGTAATTGAAGAATACGTGCTGCAAATAAAACTACAGGTTCTGTAAAATTCAACAGTTAAGTAGAAAACAAAATTCCATGTGAGAAAAAACTCTTTAAGTAGAGATCAACAGCTATTTATAATGTTTTGTCCTCTGACTGGCCGTGTGGTCAATGTACAGTTGGAATTAGCCATAGCTTGAAATGTTGCTGCCTGAGCAGTGGGAAAGGAGTACAGCAGGGAAAAAAAAAGAAAAATAGCTTAGTGTACTCTGGAGAAGTTATGAAGAAACAGAGGATAAGTCTGAAAGATGTTGCATGTTCCAGGCAGGAAGTAGGCCTGCTTGTAGAAGGGTGCAGGATTTCTCACCATGCAAATCCAGATGTGTTTTGTTTCACACTTTGCCTTGGTTTTGAAGGCAATTTGATTAAAGGCAGGTTTTTAGAGATTGATACTGTGTTGTCCAGTGTACTTTAATGCTCACTGGTGTACCTTTTCTGTTCTGTACTTTTTAATGACTGAATATCTTGTTTTGAGTAATTTTGCTTCCATGTTGCATATTGACTGTAGACTTTGTGAGTGAGTTCTGTGGGGTATACTAAGAATGCTAAGAATACTACATAAGAATACTGTTGAAGATGAGCAATTTTGTTGTACCTATCCCTTTCTTCAAAGACTTAATTGCTTGCTTTTCAACACAGCCAAACTGTAAACAGCTTGTAATTATCTTCATATCTTAATAAAAACTCTTCTTTCTTTTCACAAATTTGCTTAATAAAAATTAATCTTTCTGCTGTTATCTAAGCTACTTGCAGTTGACTGCTGCACCTCTACTCTTCAGGGCTATCTTCTGAGAATATGGATATCAGGTATCAAATAAAGCTGCTTTTGACAGCTGTTGGTAGAGTTGCTGGAAACTACTGTAATTTCTAGATTACAAAATTTCTTTCCAGCCTGCCACTAGAAGTAAGTTTGGTGCATTCTTTGAATGAGCATGCATCTAAATGAACAGGTCAGTGAGTTTAAGGAAGTGTACTGTATTTATTCCTCCAGGCTCCCTTGTACTTAATGTGCCTGCCTAAATTTAGTACACCTGCTGAAGGAAAAAACAGCTTCATAATCCCTTTGGCTGTGTGTATTTTCAGTAGATATGTATGCACAATCGTATTATCAGAAGTACTGATAGTAACAAAAAAGACTTTTTTGCATAAATGAAGAAATGCATTAGTGGCACCATCAAACTGATCTTTTCTTCATTAGCGAAGAGCTACAAAATGACTATAAATCAAATCAGCTATAACACAATCTCTGCTGAGATCTAATTATACTCATCTAGATGCAACGTTCATGTAGTCGAGCAGTTTTTCATTCTATTTATTTGTACTTAAAACTATCTCAGACTTAGAAGTCTGATATTTCAAGTGAAGTCATACTATACATTTATAAGACTGCATCTAACAGCTAGTAGAATTTATATTATCCAATTCCTTAAAGCACTTTCTATTTGGGATACCAGAAATTGTAACTGTAGAGGATTAGAGGTTGGCAGACCTGGATGGTTGATCACAGAAACTCACGGTTGGAAAAGACCTACAGGATCATCCAGTATGCTGCTTTTTAAAATAAACTTAATTTGTATAAATCAAGATAGTTTAAATAAGTTCATTTGAAACTTATCTTAAGGAAACAGAGAATTACAAGTTTAGATGGGATTAGTTTGTGTGCACTCATTATTTCAGCAATCTTACAAGCCAGTGGGAAAATAAAGATGTTCCAACTACTGACCTCTGTGTCATGGAAGAATGCTACTAACTTACAAATTCCCTGTATCTGCAGGGGAATAAAGCTGATTTAAAATTTGGACCTATTTTACGTGTGATTTTCTTAATCTTGGGGAGTTGGCGATGTTGGTTGTTTTTATTTGTTTTCTGGATCTCTTTTTTAAAATGATTGTCCTAGGGTTTGGTAGTTCTTTTCAGGAAGATTGCTTTCAGGAATGCAAAGTTCAATTTATTTACAGTTTACTATGGGAAATATCTATCAAATATGATTTCATACTGCTATAGTACTCTTACTCTTCACTACTACTATATTTGCAATAATAAAAACCTAACAGAGCCCAATCATGATTAATTTCCTTTTCTGTTGTGACATGAAATAACAGTAATGAATTCCAAGTGCATTTATGACCCTCACAGTACTGCTAGAGGGAATTTTATAATACTCTTTGATCAACTTCTCAGCTGTAATGTGTTAATAGATTTTTTTTGAATCTGTATAATTCCTGCAAGTACTTCTCAGTCACATTTTCTGAACCTATTATATTAAGTTTTTAGCTAAAGTTTCTTCTTTCTAAAGTCCTACTTGTAAAATTCAGTACATGTACTTCTAACTGGAATTATTGGCCTACAGGTTATTATTTTGATATGCATTGTGTTACAGCCAAATCCTATTCTGACTGCCAAGGAAAACCTCAAGCGACGCTTTCATCTATATGTATTGGCTGACAGTACCAAACCCAGATGGCATTTTTGGGCCATGTATAAACCTAAGAAACAACTTTTCCACATTGAGCTTTTGAAAGTATGGCATCTATGTAACATCTTAAAACTAATTTTTATCAACTTATTTTCATTTTTTTAATGTAATACATATCCATAGCTATATCCAAAGCTTTTAATTTTATGAAAGCAATAATGAAAGAATCTTATAGTTTATAATTACCTTTTCTGTATATCTATATATACCAGTATATATTCTATGTATCTATATAATCTCTTTCCAAAAAAGTAATATATAAGTGTCGTTCTTTTTCTAATGAAAAAGAACGTTTGGTTTGTTTTCCTGTTACTGTTGCTATTTGCTGTCTTTACCAGAAGTTTTACTAGAGGAACAGTTATTGGTTGGACCATCTGAAACCAAACTAAAGAAGAAGAACAGTGGACATTCCTATTTCTGATGTTCCTAATTCTGCAGGTCTTTAGTTGTGAAATACAGTATCTTTTATGAATGCAATATTCATGCAAGCAGTAGAATAACAAGGCACATACGGCTGTCCTTATCAAATTCATTTTGAAGTTCTTTGATCTGCCAAGTCTTAACTACAGCAAATTTGCATAATTGAGAGGGTTTTTTAAAACGTTGTTAGAATTATTCTCTCTACTGTTAACATTCCAGTATGTTGTTAAAAGATAGCAGAATAATAACTAGCGTGTGTTTGGTGCTTTTTACTTCTATACTCCTCAATTTGCCTGTAATCTTACAACAAGAAACATTGTTAAATTAACTAAAAGGAATAGCAATTGCCAAAATGAGCAAAAGTATTGGGTCTTACATCTTCTGTTAACATCTCCACAGACCTTTCTTCTCTGAGAAGCAATTCAAGTGCAACAGCTTTTTATATTGAATGCATTTTATGATCAGATCAGGTTCTGGTATAAATCTGGGAGAGGTGGGTAAACTAATTTCAGCCATGTTTTCTGATGCTGCAACCTGCCTTTTCCCTTTCTTTTTCTCTTGGAGTTTCTATTTTTCAGGAGTCTCAGCTCCACATCTGTATTTCCAGGTTTTTATTTGCTTCCAAGGATCTTGTAATATTGTTCTGAGAGAGTTTTTCAGCTGAATCCTTCAACCAGGAGTACCTGGAGTAAGCTAGAATACAATAGCGGAACTTGAGCATAGAGTAAATTAAGGCTATTTCTGTGGCATGGTGGAGGTGCGTGAGCTGAATCTATTTACTAACAGTTCTACCATGGCTAAACTTAAAATCTGACATTTTTGCCAGCTGTTGTACTTTGCAAATAATGACCTTTTGTGTTTTCTTGAAAAGACTACTTTCTCAATGAGTTTGATTCCATTTATTTTGTTATCAACTGAGTTTCTTAGAATTAATATCCTTGTGGGCTCAAAATAATGTAAATTGGAACAGATTCTTTATATAGAGCAGCTGGTTAATACTGAAGTATTTTGAGAAACTGCACAAGGACAATTTCATGCTGTAGCACCAGCACAAGAAGCATTTTACATCTGTTATTAGATAGTTGCAAAGGCTGAACAGCTCTGTAGAAACATCATACCATGAACACCAAGCTACCTTTAGCTATCACCTTCTTTTTATTCAGTTTTCTCTCTGCTACCTTTTCACTACACTCCAATTTTTCTGTCTTCCTGCTTTTTCTCCCTCTGCCATGCAACATCTGAGCCCTCAAATACCTTCACTTTCTCTCCTTTGTAGGTGAGAAGCCTTGAAGCGTGTCTGTCTGCTGCTTTGCACTGACAGATAGGACTGGCAGCTCTGCACGTCCATAACCTGAGCAGGACTTGGCTGACTCCTTGGCATGCTGACTAGGCAGACAGCTGAGGGAAAATAGAGCTCTCTGTAGATATTTTTGTGATAAGGGCACCTCTGGTAGAGAGGGCCTGTTATGAAAAGCTTTTTGAGATGTTTTTTGATGTATGTAGCAAGTACCAAACACGGCTGGAGCGTCAAGTTGATACGTACTTGTGTTTTGTCTGCAGCTTCTGCTATGGACTTCTTGATTTTCTCTCTTAAAGTTAAAATAGATGTATATCTGATTTTATACTTAATATGGGTTGTTGTTGCAGTTTGTATCTACCAAAATTTTTATGACTGCGGCCAAGAGCCACAGAACAGTAAATTTTTTGTGTTTACTCATAGATGAATATTCATGACTATCCATTATATTATCCCATGAACACCTTCACTGGGTTGCTTATATGGATCAAATTGTAATTTGCTTAAGCAGCTGCCTGAAGTTCTGTGCTCTGATAAATACTGCATCTCATTTTAGAGCTCTGGTTTTGTTTTAAGCTTCTCATGACAGAAGGAAGGATAAGTCCTGGATAAGTCCTGCTTTTCTGGCTTTGTGAAATCTGTTTACTCTTTGTTGTTGCATTATGTTCTCATGTGTGTTCACCTCACATCCAATTTAGTTAAACAGCATGACTAGCAGTTTTCATAGTAGTCAATTACAGTGTAAACATTGAGGAATATCCCAGATAAAAGCAAACAAAGCTTTATATCAGTAGATACTTGACATTGTAGAATTTGTTATGTAGAATTCTACTATATAGAAAATGGTATAGATGGAAGAACCTTGAGTCATTTAATAATTGAATATCTGAATTCTGTTAGGAGATATTTTGGTTGCTACATGTGGAGGTGACTGTAGTATGTTTTTCTATGTAACTTTTTGGATAGAAACCTTTCTTGAACTCTTAATATTGCATGCAATACTATCAAACTTTAAATATTCAGGCATTATAAATAAGACAACTTTACCTGTGCAAAGGGTTTGAATATCAAAAATATGGTCATATAATTTTTGCTTTTCTTAAAAGGTTGGTTATTCTGCCTTTACTCTGTAATTTTATGGTGAAATTTGTTATTAATGAAGACATGTTCCAGTATAATTGGATCATTGGTGCTTGGGCTGGCAGAAGTATCGCAGATGTTAGCAGCACCGAGGGCATCTAAGTTGCAATTACACAAATTCAGTCCACTTCCATGCTTTCTCTGGAACTCGAGGGAAAAAAAAATATCGTAGAAAAAGGCAAGAGATAAAGTTGTGCTGTGCTTATCTAGAATTTCCTTAGCAAACACCCAAGTCACAAGAAGGAAATATCCTCAGCGCTTCAGAAGCTCAGGTTGCTGTTCTGCGTATCACTACCAAAAACGGAGCTCTTACTCCACTGTATTCCTTTGTTCTCTCATCAGTAGGCTATAACTCCAAAGGCAGTAATAAGGGAACTAAACTAAAGCTTTCAGTGAGAGCTGAGGAAATTCAATTTTCCAACTCTTTCAAAGCTTTCCAGCTTTGTCAGAAAAGATGTTTGCTGCAATAAAGTGTTTGGTTGGGGGTTTGTTTTGGTTTTTTGGGTTTTTTTTTTTGTTTGTTTGTTTTTGGTTTTGGTTTTTGTTTTTTTACCAGAAAAGCCACCTTAATTTTTAAGGGGTAAAAAGAATGTATGCCTGAAACTGAGCAACTCTTTGTTACAGTTTTGTAAGACGTGCATGATGGGGATTTTTTTTAACGAGTTAACACGTCACAAATACTATTTATAGCATTCACGGTTACTATTTATGTGCATACATATATAACAGCGTTTGACAAATGCCTCATTTCTCCAATTAGAGGAAAACATAGCAACAGGAAGAAACAGTGTAATATTTTCTTGTATGAAAATATATTTGGCTATTCAGTCCTCTAATAGATCAAATCTGGGGGGCTTTTGAAAGCCTAAATATTTTTACTGTATTTTAAATTAATCTGAATGGCTTTAATAATTTGGATCTGCAAGTGAAGCTTTGTAATTAAAGCTTAATAATTAAAAAAGAGAGAAAGACTGCAGGTCTGAAATGGAGGCTTCCACTAGTTGGCAGTTTTTTTAGCACTCTCATATATTCTGCTCTGTATTTCCTCAAAATTTGTTTAAACTGGTTGAAACACATCAGCATTGTGCACCTAGCTGTGTAGGTTCAACTAAGCTGGTTTGGATGTCCTGGTTCACACATAATCAGTTCTGTTTTAAAAAAAAAATAATAATAATAGCATTGCATCTACATGTAAATGCAATCACCTTCCATTAATAAAGTTCAATTGGTTTCATTTTAGCAGTTATGCTGCTTAGGTGAAGTCACCCTGAAGTAAGCTGTTGAGGACATTCAGTAAGTTTATGTCAGCATAATGGAAATAGAAGGAATACGTCTTCATTCAGATATAACAGAACAAGTTCTGTATGTGTTACAGACAACACATAATTCAGTGTTCAGACAAGACTTTCAAAAGGTCAGTGGTATGGATTGCTTCAAATTTTATATGCCAGACTTTGAAAATAAGGAGATAGATATGGAGATGATCAGAGCAATTTTTCAATATCAAACTGCAAGAATTTTGTGAGGTTTGGCTGCCTAACATCATGAACTTCTTCATAAAAATTCCAACAGGCTGAAACCACTGAAAACCATGTCTTAAAATGGTGTTTTCTTACTCTAAGCTTTTTGAAGCAATGAACTTACTGACTTTCAATTTAAAACCAAAACATTTATGACAACACCATATTCAGAGTTCATAGCACGTGATATAACTGAGTGCTTCCAGAAAAGACTGTGTGCGCTGTTAATAAGAAAATTTAAGTGTTGAGGTCTTTAAAGGAGAATTGATACACAGCATGTACAGGTGAAGGCTGCTTTGTGTTTCTTTTTTTTTTTTTTTTATGAAAGTCTTGCTTATAGTACCAGTTTTATTGGTCAAGTAAAGAAAACTGTGAAGCAACAACTCCTTTCTCCATCTTGCTTGCTTACACTTCAGAAAGCTTAAAGAACAGTCTTAATGTAAGCAGTAAATCTCACCCTTCTACTGAAGATTGAATGGTATTTTCAGGTTTTCTTGGTATAAGCAGAAATCTGTCCACAATAATTTTACAACATAGCAAATATTAGAGTTGCAGTTTAAATTAAATTTGAAATATTTTCATAAGTAAATTAATTATTGGTAACTGCAAACTTCAGATGACTACTAATTAAACTAAAATAAATTAAGCAATAAATTGCTAACAATAGTCTGTCATTTTTTATTTTTAATTGGTTTTTATGCTTCTCAGATAAACATTTGTCCTTTTTATTACTTTTTGCAATTCTAACTGAAGCATTTACAGTAACTACCAAACTTTCGTAGGAATTGATAGATGCAAGTGGAATAAAGCAAGAAATCATTTCAGTGATCTCCCATATTTATAGTCAGCCCACTTTAAAATAAACTAGAACCTTTTACTTGCCATCCTCCCAAGTCCTGCTTAGCTAATTTCATTTTAAGGCAGGTTAAATAAAAGCATTTGTACTGTGTAGTAGGAAGCATTTCTTTCTGACCTTTGCATATGATTTACTTACATCTTGAAGCATAAGATTTCATCATCCTTATCCAAGTAGGCATAAGAATCGGTATTAGAGGCCATGAAATTATTCAGCGCTTTTAAGAATTCTAATGCAGTATCTAACTCTCTAAACTCTTTAAAGGCTGACTGCACACACTGTATGACATTTTCCTTTATTTCCTTTAATTTAGTTGACATTCATTTCATTTGTATAATGAAAAAAAAAAGGAAGACCTAAGTTACAGTCTCCTTATAATCCTAAGTATTTCACTCAAAAGTCATTTGAAAAACCTTTCAGTATGAAGTATCACACCTTGTTCTTTTGGGAGAAGTCCTTCAGAAATCAGCATTACTGAGACAGCTTTTTAAAGAAAATCCTTTGTTGTGTTACAGCGTGAAAGAGTATTCGATATTTTGTTCGTTTTTAAAACAAAGCCAAAGTTAATGAGAAAAACGTGACGTTCAAAAAATCCTGACACTGCTGTCATATTTAAAAACAACACCAGTAACAACAACAAAAACTGTGTCTGTTGAGCACATCATTTGGTTTGCGGTGCTGGAGTATGCTGTAAACTTCTCAGTCTGCGAAGGGCTGAATTCACTGTGGTTTTTGAGATGCTGATATCATACCGTGGCATCAGACCACTTGCTAAGAAGCCTTCTAGGGAGTGAACAAAGAGTCCGCAAAGGATCTGAATCAGTTTGCTGGACATTAAGATCACAAGGTTTTATTTAAATGGAGTAATTGGCCACCTTGAAATGGCGTGTTAGTGAATTTGTAGATAACTGCATGCTTCTGTTTTCCTGCTGTCCTTTCTGGAGGGAAACAATGTTGTTTTTACCATCTAGTCTCTCATTCAGTTCTTTATTATTGCGTGCCCTGGATAGGATGTAACTTGCAACAGCTGTTATCCCATCATCATTAAATTGAATTATGATGTGAGAATTTGTTTGTGAGCATTTTCTCAGCTGATTGTGTGACACAAGAAAAAGCATTAATTGCTGATTACTATTAGCAAGAGTTACAGTGAACCTTTTCATGGTGAGTCTGGGCTTTTGAGTGGAGCAGTAAATGGGGAGACTTGCTGCCAGCCATGCCTAAATAAATATGAATAACTCATTTCACCTCAACTTGTAACAAATAGCAGTTTGACACACAAAAGGTGCCTGAAAGAATTCTCTTTTACCTAGAAATCTGAAGTATTTAAGAAGCATTACAATTAAGTGCCCATTAACAGTTGGGAAATGTGGGACTGAGACATTAAAAATTTTAAAAATCACACTTCTATAATTGCCCCTGAAATGTGCTTGCATAGCAGGGTTTTTTCCAAAAGCTTATTTCTTATTTTCTAATTTCATTTCAGCTGGACAGCTGAGCCAGTCAGCACATTTTGCTCTCCAGTTGCCATACAATGTTCTGGGCTTGGGACGTAGTGCTAACTTCCTTGACCATTTGTATGTTGGAATTCCTCGTCCTTTAGGAGAAAAGGTTAGCTGAAATTCATGATTCTCAAGCTAATATTTCTGGTATTATCTTTCATAATAGAGAAAATGAATATGAAAATTGCTAATGACACTTATTTCATAAGTATGAATATCAAGGTAAATTTGAATACAGAAAAGGGTTTGCCAAAAAAAATACACTGATACCTTGCACATGTGGTTTTTTAAGGTGGGTGTAAGCTCCAATGCCAACAATGAAACTAAAAGATAACTGAAGCTGTGCATAAGCATTAGTCATATGGTGCTTGTTTAAATGATAAATGTGTATTAGACCTGGTGGTCCAATTATTATGGTCTCAGCTGTAAGATTTCCCTGGGGCTGCTCTGGCTGGTCTGTAAAGTCACATAATCCTTTCTAGCTCAGTGATGGCACCATGATCAATATGACAGGAGGTAGAGGTTACTGCGATCGTCTAATCTTGAGGTGAAACATTAAAGGCTCCTGACCGTCCAGAGTCCTTAAAAAAATCTGATTATATTGCTTTAAAAAATGAGGTACTTGTATCAGTGTACCCATGATATTCTGGTTTAGATAATTGGTAAAATTCCTTTGTAAAACTGGTTCTTTTTTTCCTTGGCTGTTATGTTGTTGCGTTGCATCTGCGTTTTGAGCAGATGCTGTGTTTCATGTCAACAGCACTTCTCTTGCTTTAGACTTTGTTGTTTTTAAAGTGCTTTGGAGCTTTCAGAATAAAAGACTTACATAAACATAAGGGAAAAAGTCACTTAAAAAAAAAAGCAATCACTTCTGAGGTTTTCTTTTTTTCCTTTTCCACATTTCGACAGAGAAAATACTTTGTTTTTAAGTGTGGTGACTTGTTAGGAATTGACATAGACTTTGTTTTACTTTCAGTCCATAAGGAAACAAGAATGGACAGCTATCATACCAAACTCCCAGCTTATAGTCATCCCATATCCTCATAATGTTCCTCGAAGGTAACTTCTTCATTCTGAATTGCACATCACAAAATTACATAATGCCTAATTTAAAATCTGTGTTCTTTTTTTTTCTCCTTTTTTCTTTTAAGTTGTATAGAAAGTGGGTCTAAAAGCAATGAAGGAGAGGGACTCAGTTCTGGTACTGTTGTTGCCACTATGACTGGACAGAATATTTTTGAGTATTTACATACAATTTTATGTAGTAACCATAAGCAATCGAAGTCTTTTACCAGCTGAACTCCTGTAAATAATAACATATTTGCTGGGTTTACCAGCTTTTTTTTTCTTGCTTTTTTTTTTCTTGCTTTTTTTTTTTTACAAATTGTAAGCATGGTAATGATTGAAGCAAGCATTTTGGTTTCATCAAACATGCAATTTCTGCCCAGTTGTACATAAAAGCTTCAGTTTAGCCCTTCTGGTCACGCTATCTATTGCCACAGGTAGGAATATTTTCCCTTAAGTGAAGGTGAAGGGGTTACTTATATAAGCTTTTCAACATTGAATTCATTTGGAAATTAAAACGTTTGTCTCAGAAATCAAGCATGTTTCTGTCGTTGCTGTTAGAGAAAACATTGGTTGCATTACAGCTGCGTTTTGCCGCTTGATCTACTAGTGAGGTCAGCTGCGTTTATCATGCAGGAATGATTCTGACATCAGTTTCAGCAGCTAATTTTACAGACTACTACAGAACAAATAACAGTTGAGAAGTGATGTGCCACTTGAGTTACTAATTAACAACCACAGGAATAACATCTGGCAGATGGAGAAAATTTAGTTGCAGTGTTAAGGTATTTAAAGGTATGCATTATGAAAAATTTTCTCAGTCATCCATAAGCTATTTCTGCTTTTTTTAGAGAGCAAGTTTATGGCCACTGAACTGTGGTGAATAGAATTCCAAAAGAATTAAGATTTCCTAAAAACCACTTCTTATATAATAATATATAATATAATAATATAAATTATATAATATTATAAAATATAATTCCTTTTAATATAAATATGCAGTTTCCTGTGAGGACGTGGTACTGCCTCAGTATAAAGGATCATGCTGATAGCTTTCCCATGACAAGAAGTCTGAAGGATAAAAAGAGTGTTACTGAGCCTTGGAACCCCACAACATTCTAGGGATGCCTTCCAGAAGTCCTTCAAGTGCCTTGTTTCGTTGCTTTCCAGTATTTTTCTGCCATAGCCAACTGGTTCTGCTGCCTACAACTAGTATAAAAGTCAGTCTCTGAGGATGCTCATAGCATTCCTGGATAAATAAGCTCAATTTCAATGGCAATGCTTGAAAATAATTGTTATGCATTTCCAAGTAAACACCATTAAGCTCCAGTCTCCAAGTACAGCCACTGGGTTTTTATGGACCAGGCTGCTACTTATCTCAATACTAGCAAGTTATTTTGATCTTTGTAAGTGAAATGTTTTCTACTTCCTAATTAAGGGTATTAATATTTCTTTGGATTTTCCTCTTTTGTGCAGCTGGAGTGCCAAGCTATATCTGACCCCGAGTAACATAGTGCTGCTAACAGCTATAGCCTTAATTGGTGTCTGTGTTTTTATCCTGGCAATAATTGGCATATTACACTGGCAAGAAAAGGTAAGTTTAATTAGCTGTATTTTTCTGTATTTTCTATGCTATTTAACATTTCCTTATATCTTATAGGCTTGTACATCTTTGAGCAGCTTTATATAATTCCTGACACAGACTGCATTAATTCCCTAAAGGTGTGGATTTGTCATTAATTTGGTATTTATTGCAAGCTTAAAAATTGGCATTGTTTCTACTTAAGCTTGAAGGCACTTGAAAAGGGAAATGAAGAAAGGATTGATAAGCTTTTGCCATTAAACTGTTATTGCCAACAAAATGAGAAGTTTTTGGTTCATATCTAAGCTTTCTACGTTGCAGTTTTTAGAAGTACAATATCAGAAAAAGGGAACATAAATTCAATTTACTTAGCTTGAGTTGCTGGTAATCTAAAAAAGAGGAAAAACATTTCTTTTTTCTGTAACTATCTTTGCTGATTGCATTCACATTAGCATTCAAGAGTGTATAGGGAGACAATTGTGTGCATATTGGCTGCTTTGCTCTATGTGTCTGAATTATACATGCAGTGTATAGAAATCTATTGATTTGCAGAAGCATTTTGAAAGGGGCCTTTCATGTCACAAAAGAAATGCATTCCCATTTTTCTTAACTATGCAGTTCGCAATCATATCCAACTGGCAGGATTGCCAATAAATGCTACTGCATACCCAAACCATAATCTTAGCTGTCAAATAAAATTACTGCACATTTTGACATGGTAGAACTGTTTGTTATTTTGTGCTTGTGGAAATAAAATGACCTTGTTAAACATTCAGATAGGCTTTGCGCATGCTTCATATTTAAATGTTACTTGTCTGTCATTCTCCACTCTTCAAAATGTTAAATATGGTCTCCAAATCACGGTGATGCTGGGAACGCAACACACACAGCAAGGAAATACAAATGTTGTGATGACTGCCCTTAACGTGTCCTAATGTACCAGGGAAGCATTACTAAGTGATAGCTTGGACTGTCACTGCCTGGGTTTAACTCTGTCTCCAATACGTCTAAAGCAACAGGAGTAAAAAAAAATGTTTGGTCTCTGTGTTGTGAAGGACTATGTATAATTCCATCTGGAGAAACTGAGGTTCAACAACAATGTTTAAAGCTTTCTTTGCTAACAAAAATTTCTTTATTTCAGTATAAAGAAGCACTCAACCTGGAGTGGGTGCTTTCTGAGCCATTTCAAGCCCCCTTCATTAAGCACGTGTGAATAAAGTGGTGTTGGTCATGTGTTAAATTCCTTTGCAGCAGCCTGCACCTTGCACAAAATAGGCACACATATTTGGTTAAATTGTGTATTTTTAGATCACTGTGTAAACAGTTGTTAATTCCTTTAATTTTCAAATGCCCTTCCCATTGATTTTTACCTTCCCAGTTTTAGAAGAAAGTGGTTGAGGTACAGAACAAGTGGAAGTCCTGACCAAGGCAGTATTGTGAGCCAGTGGCATGACTGGGACTGTTTTCTGCCTCTTCCAGTAATCCTTTCATAAGAATACTGTTCTGCCTCAATGCTGTTTTCCCTGCAGACTTCTAGAGTACCTATCACAAAGAAAGAAAGGGGAAATGCACTGGCAGCTGCAATCTCTCCTTTTTCCCCAGAGGATGTATCTGTATGTAAGCTGCCGTGCTTTACTCAGCAGTTAAAAGAAAGCATGTACTTTGACCTCTGCAGATAAGGAGCAGCAGAAGTCCTTTGTCTGCAATAGTTCTTAGGCATTCAGCTGCCAGCCGTTACTGTGCTGTTTAAGTAACTGTAGTATTTGGGGATACTATGTTGCTCTGACATTCCTTAGAAATTTTTGATCCATTACAAAAAAAATGAATGGCTTTGAGTTATTAGTGTTAACTTTTGATACATCAGATAAAAGAGAAGCTGAGGAAGAATTGAAGCCATTATTTCATCTTATAACAATATAGTCTGCCACATTTCCTGTATTTTGATTCTTTTTAATTTGCTTTGTGAACTTGGGACTAGTCAGGTGAACACCAGGCATTGATGATAATCCTTGCTAGGGAAGTTTTGATGAGTTCATCACAATATCAGTTACCAACAAATCTTGAAGTCGTATTTTTTTCATGAAGCAGACAAGAAATGGAGTGAAAATTGCTTTCTAAGAGAGCCTGCATAACACTGTGGAATGTGACAAGCATTTTAATTTAGCATAGTATGCCACTCCCCTTTTCCCACCCCATTTTTGACATTCAGAATACCACTGGCATTGATAAAGACCCTGCCAAAAAGCCAGGCAGATGTACCTTAAACCTCACTGACAGTCATGCTGCTGCCACAAAATGCCATAAAATCCAATAGTTAGATGACAGCTCGACTGCTGCCACAGAACGCAGTAAAATCCATAGTTAGCCCACTGGAATCACTGTCATACATAAACAGTGTGTGATGAGGAAATCTCTGGCCTTGAGCCAGAGCAGATGACGAACTTTAATGGCAGAACACATGCACTGATTTCTACCAAAATCATCATGTATATGTATCGACTGGGGTACAAATCTGAATGCCCACACAACAGCATACTGTAAAGGTTTATCTTCATTTTACTCATTCACCAAAAAAAGCATTTACATTTGTTTTGCTGCGTGTTCTTATACTGGGATTTATAGGGATTGTCTGTCATGAGAAAAACACCGGTTGCTCAAAAGGTTCGCTGTGCACTCCAAGCTCCTGAGAGAGGAGCTCTCCTCTTCTGTCACTGCTTTCAAACACAAGGGAGGCAGTGAGGAGAGAACGTGCTATAGCACCTTACATGGGTTCTAGGTGCAGTTTCACTGTGCGTCTCTTCTCCAAGCACAATCCAAGCTGCTCTTTCAGCAGATCAATGTGTGTTCCACATCAATAAGTGGGGAAATACATCCTCTCACATTTTCTGAACACAAAAACATGGAACAGTGCTCTTTTTTTAGCCTACTCGGTGCTGTTAATTGTTAGTTGGACTGCTGTCTTTGTCTGAATTTGTATTTAACATTTCAATTTAAAAAATCTAAGTGTAATGTAGATGACAACATTTACAGTTAATCCAAAGTGATTTTATCTCGTATTAGGCTAAATACATACACACGAGGAACCGTCCTTCGGTTTTGAAATATTCCTTTCATAAAAGCATTATTAGAACAAGAGAAAATAATGGATCATAAATGCTAAAACAGCTGAGTATTAACAGCAGAAGCCAATTTTGAGTCGATTATTGCTATTACAAACTGACATCATTTAAAAGCTAATTATTGAGGTTTTACTAAGCTTTTTGCCTTTTGTCATATGAATGGCTTGGGAAAAAAAAATGAACCGTTCTCTGACATTGGACAACACGTTTCTGTAACAGCATTGCTCTGAATCCCACAAACTGCTTAGCTTTTTTATTTTATTTTTCAGAAAGCAGATGACAGAGAGAAGCGACAGGAAGCTCATCGGTTCCATTTTGATGCTATGTGACACGCCTTAATATTTATGGAGGAGCTGCTATTCGTTTGCTAAATTGAAATACTAAATTCTGATTTGTAAAATGATTACTATGGAAAATACTGCTGGTGTGCTATTTGTAAATGTTGCATTATTTGGTATTTATTTGGAACATATTAAAAATAGACCTGAATGTCTCTTAAGGCCTTCCAGAAAAAAAAAAACTAAAACAAAAACAAAAAAAGCTTGTATATAATAGCATTTGGTCTTTATTTAACAGAAGTGTACATTAATTTTTCATAGTAAAAGGGTAATTTTGCATGTACCGTTGTTTACATACCACCAGTTCTTTAGTAATATATTTGATAGAAAGCTGTGTAAATAAAGATTAGTATTTTAGTGAGCAGAATACTTTGTACCACTGGCATTGGTATTGTTATTTACACATTCCTGCAAAGTAAACTGCATTTCTGAAAATTAATCTTGAGCAATTTCTCAGATGACATAATCATTAATTGATTGCTTAACTGAAAGTATTCTGTATTTCTCTTTGTTTAAGTTCATATGTGCAATTGCTAAAGAATTGGGAAACTCAAAGAAACCTTCAGTGTTGATGGTAGTTCAGTACTTGTGGGATAGATGCGGTATTTATACGTTAGTTCTAGAAAGATGATGGCACATTAAAAAGAACTGAAGTAATAAAATGTATCAGTGTGACACAAAGTGCTTTTGTAATTATACCATAACCTTAGGTCTTTTAGAAAGGCCTAACGACATGAAAATAACTTCTGTGGGTTCTGCTCTTATAAGAAGGGTGGGGGGCTTTGTATTTGGCTGGTGCTTTTTTAAAGACACGAGAAGAAGAATTCTGGAGGGGAAGGAGAATGAGGATTGACTCCCTAGAATTCATGATTAATAGATGAAATGTACAGAGATTAAATAGCATAGGACACTCAGAATAAGCAGTGCCTAAATATCATGAGGCTGTAATAACTACAGAAGCAGAGGGGCTCCATTCTATATAGATGGTGATAATGTTACTGTATCCCATTTGATATATAGAATACACTTTATCATCAAACTAAAAAGTGTTGTTCTTACAGGCAGTCACCTCAGTAGAGATAGTGGTCAGTGAGAACTCCTTATCTCCTCCACCCGGGCACCTGTCCTGTAAGCTTACATACATGTGTCAATACAGGAAGAGTAAAGGGAGAGCAGGTACAAAGCTTGAACTGATTCAGTCCTCCCTGAAGCGCTGTTCAAGCTATTTGTTACCACAGCAGTGCTGAAGGGACCCACTGTAACAGCAGCTCCAAGTCAAAAATCTGAAAGGTACTGAAAAGCTACAAAGTTCTGTAGTTTTTACAAGATACTTGTAATTTGAACTGATCAGATTCTCACAAAGCAGACTTTCAAATTACATTTCCCTTAGTTTTCAGGAAAGCGTATTTCTTTAATACACACCTTTAATATTTCTCTTAGAGTAGTGTGGAAAGGTAGATTATTTAGATAAATCCTTCGGGGTATTGTACTTTTTAAACCCCACTGCTAGAATTCTCTCCCATCAGCAAAAGTAATAACAGGTTTCATAATCAAGAGGAAGCACAATCTAATGTGATCTCTGTGTTTTTCGGATGGTTGGAGAATAAGGCTAAATGCATAATGCCACTGTGGCTCCAAAGTCTTCTGCAGCCCTCTATCGCAATATAATAAACATACATTAGCCTCCTTATGTTTTTTGGAAAAAATAATTAGGAATGAAATAACCTCATGCTGACATTTAAGCTGTTACCCAGTTAACGAAGCAATGAACTCAGCATCTCGTGCTTTAAGGTGGTTTGCATGCTCAGTAGTGCATTCTTACATCACTTCGTGTACAATACTTTCTTGGAGCTTTAATAGCTTTCTTATAATAAACTGTGACAGGTTGTAACTATTCACAGCTTGTCTTATAACACCGATGCATACTATTCTGAATTAAGGCATTAAATGGTGTTAAACCTCTTGTCAAAAGTTTCACGTCATATTTGACTTTCATGGACATCAAAAATTTGTATTGTTAAGGTTGTTACCCTTCTATCAGTAAGTTTTAGAAAGCAACATTCATTAGAACGTGTGTTTCCAGGTAATCTTCAGTGTAGCTGAGAACTGAGAAACAGCTTTAACTGCATGCATTTTCAAAATGCATCCACCATAATACAGCCCTGGTAAGAAATGCTATTGGAAGGCTTCTTCAGTGTGAAATCTCACCTATATAAAAAAACTGTTGACATGCCAACTGACAGATGGCTGTTGAAATACCAGCTTGCTTTGTTCTCATTTTCCATGAGAAGCTTTAAGACTGAATCTTCCTACTAAATTTATCATTAATGCAGTATAATCCCCAACAAAAGAACCAACTCTTCTGCTGCAGATTGATAGGCATATTCTATATAGTGTGATATCTCTCCAATGATCATGTGGCCATCCTTAGTAACAGAAAGCTGCTCTAAAAAGATTTGCTACAACTAATTAAAGTAATCATTATAAATGCACTGAGTCAATTCAGGACTCCTGTAACTCCTTTCAGACAAACGCCATTTACATAGAGGAGAAGAATTCAACCCTGTAAGTTTCTGCTGCATTAATGTATAGTCATCAGAGCTTAGTTTTGTTGAAGCAGTGTAAAAATGCAAACTGTGCCAGCTTTAAACGTACTGATAACAATAAGAAATATTATTTAAAATCCAGAAAGTAAAATTATGCTTGGAATGATCACAGATATTGCAAGTAAACATTATAAAGACCAGTGATTTCACAAAAGTTTCAATAACTTGAACGCATTCTAAAGGAACAGTCAAATTCCAATAGGAACCTAAAGTGGGGTGTAAAAAAGCTGAGGATGAACTCTTCGGCAGGGTCTGTTGTGATGAAGGGGAAATGGTTTCAAACTGAAAGAGGGGAGATTTAGATTGGAGGTAAGGAAAAGGTTTTTTAGAATTAAGTGTGGCGAAGCACTGCAATGTGTTGGTGAGAGAGGTGGTAGATGCCTGTCCCTGGAGATGTTTGAGGTCAGGCTGGACCAGGCTCTGAACAACCTGCCTCGCTGTAGGTGTCCCCATTCATTGCAGGAGAGTGGGACTAGATGACCTTTAAAGATCTGTTCCAACTCAAACAGTTCTCTGATAATTCTATGATAAATATTTTGATCAAAAACAGACTAACATCAAGAAATTGAGCTGTATTTCTTTAGGCTGCTGTGCTGTTTCAGTAGCCATTCTATTATTTCTTCCCCCTGATTTTGGCAACTGGAATTTTGTATTGAGGCTCTGGTGATACTGGCTGCCGCTGCCACTTAGAAAGTATCAGCCATGCAGTACAGTCATTATAATCAACTCCTGTTTTCAGTGAATAATGAAATCCCTTGTCTGATACCTTAAAAAACAAAACAAAACAAAAACAACAACAAGAAGATGCTAACCTTATTGCATGATTTGAGATAGAATATATCCACAACTCTCTCTAATACTCTGATCTAATAGTATTATGTAGCAAATACAAAAATGTGCAGGAAACTTTCTGAAGACAATCAGTATTCTTAGCAGATTATTAGAAAGTTTGCACTATTCTTCTTTCTCAGTAGTAAATAACAGAAGTCGGTTATGTGTTCATGTATGATTACATATGATATGACCACAATAAGAGGTCCTTCATTTTCCATCATTTTTCTAATTAAAAATTACACATAGGTTGCTCCTAAAGTAATGAGCACAAAGAGCACAATAACACAGTTAGAGCAAATTCTCAGCTATAAAACATCGTTGTTTAACACAGTCATCACCTTCACTATGCATTTTCACCAGCCATGAAGAAGAGCCTGCGTGCTGTGCCTGTAAAACTTGTCCACTGTCTTGGTCATCGCTGGTAAAACACACCTCCCACTGCCTCACACCCACAGTTTGGTCTCCTTAAACATTCCACCAGAGTCGATGAATGTCAATGGGTGCCATTTTTTCAACATGGAGAATTTCAGTGAGGCTCCTTTGCTTCATATGCATCTCCAAGTCAGACACCATTCTGTCAGACTGCCCCTCTGCTGCCATCTGTCATGCGGCAGCAACACGTAGTAGAATATTGTTGGGAAGGTTCAGCCTCTGCTGCCGTACACCAACATAACAAAACAGGAGGTATTACTTATGTAGCAGACCTTGTATAAAATTACCTAAAGCACTTAATCCTACTGACAAACGTAAGTAACAGAACAGTTAAAATGTTAATCCGAACTTCTTTTCATAACAATTCACTTTTAGCATCTGTATTTTTGCAAACTCTTTTAAAAACAATACACAGGTGACCCCAAACAAAGCCAAAACCCGACTGCTGGGGAAGGCTGCTTGTGATGTGCAATCTGCTACCAGGGAGTAGCAAATATGTGAGGCAATATTAAAATTTAAGCTTCTAGGAAAAAGAGTAATTTAAAAGTTTTAAGGAAGGAAGAACTTGAAAAGAATCGGAATCAGTTCTAATAATGGAAATGTGGAAATGTAAGCCTTATTCAGGCAGCTATTAACTATACCAGAATGAGTGACCTCATTGCCTCGCATGAACTGCTCCTACTCAGAAATAATGACAACTCAGTAGAGCAGCAGAATACACAACTGGTCATCCCAAAGCAGTTTTCAATCTTTGTTCACTCCAAAACTCACGTTTAATTAACTGAAGCTTAGTGCCAATCTGACCTGATGGCACAACATTTTCTTCCCTGGAAGCCAGCATCCTGCAGGCTCAGAAAATGGGAACTGAAAGTTTCTCTGGCCTGTCACTAATTCACTATATAATAATTGAAAGCACCACCTATAATGAGAACTGTAACAAGACAGAGAAACAGGGATGTCCAGATAAGGAATTCTACTGAAAGCAGCAGTAAATGATGGCAGAATGTGCCCAAACTCTCAAGCTAATGCTTATAGCCATGTCTCCCGCACTGACTGCTTGATGCAGCCCTGGGATAAGAGAAGGCAATACTGCACTCCCCAAGTGTGTAACAGCTCTGTGTAACCTCCTAATGGACAAACTGGAAGTGGAACTTTCAGTTAAATGCACTGTAGCAGAGTGGTTCTTTGCAGCTACCGCCAACTTGTCCTGAGCATGAGACATTTCTATTTTTCCTCCTATTTCTTTTCTGTGAAATAATTGACTACAAATCACTACCTTGAATGCACATTCAGCTTGCGGCCTGAGAATCACACTACTTCTCTCTTGTATTGTGAGTAATAAAAATACCTGAGCCAGATTTTGCCCTCAGCTTCACTGTGCATTCCAAACAAAAGCAACCCCAGCTCCCAGCAGTCTGCACAGCAGCACCATCCGTTTTCATTTTGTGCTCATGTGCTGCAGAGAGGATAAAGAACTGTGCATGCTGCACAGAAATGGCAGAAATTATTGCTCTGTTAAGCATTTGCTAGAGTTGCTACGGCAAACATTTCTTTGAGCAGAGAAGAAAAATACAAAGCAGACCAACCTAATGAGGATATATCTTCATACAGGAATGTTCGCTGTGGAGTTTGCCATTTCATCATACCACTATAAAAACACACAGTTATGAAGTGGGTACAAAGATATTGCTTTATCCATTGCTGGAATGCAGCAGCTATTTAGCAATTCATGGGAAAACGACCCTTTGAGGAGCAACTGGATCATCTCTGCTTGAAATTGAAAGGACAATTCGAGTAAGCGGAATAATATAATTATGTAACTTGGGATTTTGCCACAGCATTGAGCTTAATACTTCATCAAGCTTCTTAGAACGCTGAAATGGATCTCTAATGCCCAGAAAGCTCCGGCCCTTTGTTTACAGGTCTCAGCTGCCCCTTCGGGCCGGCGCTGGGAGGAACAAGGGCTCCCGCACCCCCCACCCCGGTGCCTCCCGCCGCGCACCGGAGCTGGCAATCGCGCCGACTCGAAGAGCCCGAACCGTTTAAGTGCTAAGCTGGAACAGAATGACCTTTTCTAACAGGATATGCTGACCTTTGAGCGTCGTAGGAAGAACTCATTCAAACACAAAGCACCAAACCACCAGGGAATCAGCTTCCCATCTTACAACCACGTTCGAGAGCGGCCCTCTCGCTCGCGCAGCCGGAGCTGCAAGTTGCAGTTCTGCATCTATTGTTGTCAGTCGGATGGGTTCCACATCGCCCCTGCGAGGCCCCCGAGCTCCGGCCGCCCCCGCCAGCCGCCGGGAGCCGCATAGAGGCGCCGCGAGGAGCACTCGGCCCCGAGCATCCCTGTTTGGCGATTCGGGACCCCGAACACACCGCAGCCTCACCGATCGGCGACGCGGGGAAAAGCCTTCCTGCGCCGAGATTCCCGTGCTGCCTACGGGAAAGTTGAAAAAATCGTCCCCTCGGCAGCGGCGGCCAGCCCCGCCGTGCCCCTGCCCTACCTCGGGCTATTCCCCGAGTGCCAGCTCCCCTACAGCTAACCCGCCGTGATGGATCGCCGCGGGGATGGCAGGCGATGGGTTGGGTGCGCTTTTTTATTAACTTCTCGAAAGTAATAGCTCCATTTGAGCTGTCGCTCGCCAGACGACAGCAACACAATAGAGTGTGATGGACTCCTCTCGTAGCTCGGGCTCCAGGCGGAAGAACGCAGCCGTACGGGCGGCTACCGCCGAGCGGGCCCCGCCACGAGGAACGAGAGGAAAAAGAGGAGGAGGGCACCGGCTGCTTTCCACCCCGATCGCAGCCGCCGCGATGCCCGACAAAGGCGGCGGACGGGACCCGGATTCCCCCGAGCCACCGCATACCGGGGCGGCGACCCGGGCTGCTGTCGGCAGAAGGGAAAACCCCGGCAGCCGGGCGGGTGGCCGGTCCCAGAGCCTCACGCCCGGCGGAGCCCCCGGCGCCGAATTCCCTCCGCCGGACGGGGGGAGGGCGGCGGCCGCCCACGCTCGGTACCTGCCGGGCGGGAGGAGCGCGGCCGCCCCGCCGGCTGCGGCAGCTCGCGGGGCTCCGCGGGGGGCGGGCACATGCGTACAAGCGGCTCAGCCAAGCAAACACCCCTCACATCTTAAACGAGCTTCATCCACCGGCGGCCGCTTCAGTCGGGCTGCGAGCCGGCGAGCCGCGCTCGGCCCTCTCCACGGGGTGCCCCCCGCCGCTCCTCGCGGCGGCCCGGCCCCGACGGCCCCCGCCGCGTCCCGCTCTAGATGGGACTG